AATATCACATATAATGCAATGTAATTTTATTCGATCAGTTTCTTTAATATTTTACTTTATGTAATGCATAAATTGTATTTTTATAAATATAGAAATCACAATATTACCTATAAACTCAAGAAAATGTTGTACAATAGTGTTTTTAAAGTTAAGTTTTGTATATTAGAGAGCATTGTTAAATAAATCATAATCTATAAGAAGATTAATTTTTACCGTAGATTTTGAAATCTATCGTAATTATAATTTACGAGCAGACTTTATCGCGGTATCTTAAACATTAAAGTACATATCCATGTAATTTGATTTGGCGTTTCAAAGTATATATGTAAGGAATTTTACATTCGTTTATAAATTTTAATTTTAAACTGTACAAATCATTTATACTAATATTAATCATTTGTCAACGTGTTTAAGTCAATGTATCGCTGTTAATTATATAAAATACGAGTAGCCGGTTAATGGAAAAAGAAACTTACTATCAAAGCTTCATAATTCTTATACAATTAAGACATTATCATAATATTAACATAAATTGTACTCAAAAGCTCGATCAATAATGTAAAGCAAAAAATATTAAGTCACACTATATATATATATATATATATATATATATATATATATATATATCAATGACTAGACGTTAATTAAGTATCGATACTTTATTAAAGTTTAAAGAAATTTCACCAGTGCTCAACCAGTAATGCGGAAGAAACACTTACTTGCTCGCTTTGTATTTTATACACCGATGACCAGGCGGTAACTTAGACTCTTACTTCCTGCATGAAAGGTACTACTGTGGTCGTTTTTCAACGAGATCAAATTCTTTTGCCAGTAGCCAGCACTTCTTACATCCGTTTCCTTAAAAAGACTGTATTATCTGGTCGAGGTAAAAGTGCGTCGAATTTCCAGCGGCGAGCGAAATGGCAAAAAATTAGCAGATAACGTAATGCGCGATTTTTCCCAGTAATGACATTACGATCTTTCTAAAATTAACTTTCAACCCTGCGATGTATCGATCGATTCGATCAACTCATTCGTCAGCATGGACAAGTCGTCGAAGCATCGACATCGAGCTCAAGGAATTCCGCTGACTAGAGAGCATCTAGCCATCCTATCCAAGGAAGTTGCTTTTCCGTCACGAGCAATTCGCGTATTACGATCTTTTCTGTTTGTTCACGATCATTGGTTGCGGCTCCCGCCTCGTCACCGCTTGGCCTCTGCCCAGATTTTTGCAGTTCTGCCAAACAATAAATCCTCAACTACTGCACATCGTCTTATTCTTACTCACCTTCCCTACATGTGTGTGTGTGTGTGTGTGTGTGTGTGTGTGTGTGTGTGTGTGTGTGTGTTGTCTCCTTTGAGGCTTTCCAAACAAATTTCCAAGTGTCTAGAACATCAATCACTTTTGCTTCCCCTTTATCGATTATTATCCTCCTTTCATTAACAATAATTTCTTTCTCTAAGTTAAATTAAGGTCATGTTTGAAACTTGTCTATTAAACGTTTATCTGATTGACAGGGAATGCATTTTTGTGCAAAGATTTACGATTCGTACAGATTTTTCAAGATTAAAAAAAATGGTATCATTTGTATTATTTACCTATTAATTACCTATAAATTCTGTAATTGTAATGAAAGTTTATTGCTTATTTATATTTTTATCTTTTTATCATTTCAACTCAAATTATTTTAATTATTACGAAAAAACTAATATAGTATTGCGATTACAAATATACAATTACAAATATTTTATACAATCATAGGCTTATAAATGATATGGAATTTCGCTTGTATATATATATGTTTAGTGCAATGCATAATTACATAGTCAATCTATTCAATTTCAAATAATCCCTTATCAAGTATGTTATTATATAATTACAACTCATAATATAAAAGTAACGTTTGGGAACAAATACTTGTAACATAGTCTAGATGAATTAAGAAATGTTTTTGACCAATGACAACGTGTATCTTAAATACTATGTGTTTAAATTTGAAGACGCATATGTGTTGGGAAATTTTAAGTCAACTAAATTTTTAAAATAGCGAGAAATAAATTAAAAAATTAGCTATTAATTACCAATGAAAATTAATGAATCAGCAAAAAATTTGTATGTATTCTTACATTACAATACGAGCTGTATTATTCTTATGATAATGAAACCAGTAAATGTCTACAGTTTTCGTAACTTTCACACAGTCAAAAATTTCATTAAGCATAGATTCAATTCATTAATAATACAATAGCAACTTTCAACATTCTCTTACATTATTATATGACTATTTATGAATAAAATACCAAGTCCATTTGAATATCTTTTCCTCAATATAATATATAATTAACATTATAGATTTAAGCAACACATTGAAAAATTTATCGGAACTTTAATCTATAATAATAATATTAATGTGTGATAATAATACGCTATTACAATAGAATACGAACTATTTACGTAATTATGTGATACTCTATAATAATTTTAAAGTTTACTTACAAACCATCTAACTATCTCTACTCCACAATAATTTTAAAGCTTACTTATACTTATATCTCGATCATATCCTACTCAATACTACTTTCATTCTTTTACGGCCAAAAAATCAATTTCAACAATACGTTTTGAACATCATAATACATTTTTAGTACAATATATACAATATATACAAGAATGACTTTTATCATAAAAGATCTTTATTTAAAATATATTATATGCGTAGGTAGCAAATATAATTACAAATTTTTTATAATGAATGAAATTTCTTCCAGTTTTTTCCAACGCTTTATTAAATATTATAATATCAAACAATGATATTCAATGTAATAATTGTTACTGTTTCAAGTTTATAAATAGTTCTCCAGCAATTTGAAGCATAGATAAAACACAGAGGCGATAGTTTAAATATCGATTATTCCATTTTTAGAATGTTTTCTCTAAAGATAAAAGTTGTATCTAATCCTCTTTACCTCGTATGTATGATTTTTATATAGATATTATTTATACAACCAACGTAAACTATTGATATTTGAAATACCTCAGCTGTCATGTTATATGTGAAATTACATTAAGTAGAAAGTACTTTTTATACAGTAGTGTATGTAAAGAAAGCAGTTTAGTTATTGTTCTCAAGATATATTGTAGTAAAACAATGTCTTAACCAGATATTTTGTATAATAAGGTTTCCGTTTTTCTTCCACTCTCCTTATCTAACTTTAATAATTTAACTTTTCTGGCGATCAAGGTAACTTTAGATAAGTGTATCTAAGTTTCAATAATACCCCAACAGTTGCCAGTGAATTTATAACAATGAAATGCGCATTTTCTCAACTCTACAAATATATTCGTACATTCCTTAGGATTTTCATATAAACTTTCGCGATTTACCAAAAAATTTTAATAAATCTAACTTCCCACCCCAGAGAAATTATTCCTCATCAACACAATGGTAAAAGTCTTTATATCTCAAAGAAGAAGAAAAAAACGGATTTCCGCGACAGCACTTTCATTGCTCTGCTGCAATATAACGTCACGACGTCGCGTGCCTTCACGATTTCCCTCTTAATTATATTCAAGAGAGGGAGAGAGAGAGAGAGAGAGAGAGAGAGTGAGTGAGAGAGGAAAGAGAAAGAAATATTTCTAAGGAGCATCGTATCGTCAACCAGATGCCAGAGTGTTACACATCAAGCTAGTGTTTCTTTCACATCATCCCAGACACGTGAGAGGTTTTCACTAGTTTTTCTTTTTATCTTTCTTGCTCTCTCATTCTCTTTCACTTCTGTCTTCTTTTCATGTCATACATACTATCTTTTATGTGTGAGAATATGTGGCTGTATATTCTCACCTTTTCACACTTATGTGCGCGCACATTCTCGCTTTCTCTCTCTTTCTCTCTCTTACTTACGCGCTCGTTCACATATATGAATATTTAGAATGTATACACGAAGTACCAATGAAATACCTCTTAAGCACGACACGACAAGCATTTTATTTTTTTTCTCTTCCACCGACTCATTTAAAAGCTTATAAGAAAGAATAAGCCATATAATGACTTTTTTTTTCTATTTTATAAATCTTGCTTATATTTTGAAGAAAACATACTTGCTTCATTTATTATTCACTTTCTTCGCGATTAGTATATTCTAATATGTTAATAATTCATTAGTTAAAAATAAAATAAAATATTTAAAGTATTAAATTGACTAAAGTATTAAATTCCTTAAAATTAAATTAAATTAGGTAATTTAATAATTATAGTATTATATTGTGTACATTTCTTCAACATTAAATGAATAGATTTTTTATTTATGCTTAACCGTTAATTGTCATATATCTAAGAATATTTTTATAACTTTTATCTGTGATTGAATAGCTCTTCATTTGATTACATTGTATATATATATTAGTAGGGACTTAAATTTTAATGATTCATCGAAGAAATATTTTATATCTTTTATTTTTCAAGAGAATAAATATTGATCAAAAGTCCAAATTCATTATAAATGCATTAGAAATCTGATATCAATAAATATGAATTATACGTAAAATAATTTTTTAGACAAATGAAGTTTAATACGAATGTTAACTTTATGATCTGCATGTTACATATATATTTCAATTTATTTATAAAATTATTTTTTGTCTTTATATATTATGCATTTTTAAAATGTAATAAGTATATATTATTATTTTTATTTTTTTTTTTTATTATTTTTTTTTTTACGACTCATTTAGGTTATTCGTATTACTATTCATTGTTATACATGCAGATGTGACTGCATTATCATACTTCGCATACTTGATCGATAAATTATTATTTTTATTTTAGAAGAAAAGCCTATAATGTATAAGGATTGTAGTCAACTATGAATTTAATTTTTTTTAATGATTATTTAAAATAAAAAAGATTACTATTATAAAAGTAAGGAGATTCTTGATAAATTTTCTTATAGTATAATGAATGTATCTATCTAATCGATAACTCTCATTTGTAATTTTTCAGGTCACTCATAAAGTTACAGGTCAAGTAATGGTTCTCAAAATGAATCAACTTCCGGCAAATCGACCGAACATGCTCAAGGAAGTGCAACTGATGAACAAACTCAGTCATCCTAACATATTAAGGTTTGTTGTAACAATAAAAGCAAGTATTTCTCACCTCGAAATAGTAAATAAAAACAGTAATTTAAATTATAATTTAAAATATTCACTGCTATTTATAGAGAAAATCGTGTTAAAAAAGTTTATTGACTTTGATATTTAATGATATTCCGTAATAATCATTTTATATCAAATATTTTATTAAAAAAAGCTTTTTTTATATTTATATAAGTATATTTAGAAAATCAGATTATTAACACTTGTGTGAGAAAAATATAGTAGACAATTTATTGCATTTTTTTTTTTTTTTTTTTTAATTAATATTTCGTAGTCTCGTTAACGACGATATTTGCCTCCGTATTACGAAACTTCGTTATTTTAGTTATGATGTAGACTAGGCAGTCCGTCACAAAATTTAGAAGGGGATAAACGGATAATTGCCGTTATCTTGATTTTACATCGGATACGCTCGATATTCATATTTTTTATAGCGAGAATTATATATAAAGAGCTATTAATCCGAAATTCCGTATTCAACTAACATTTAACTTAACCATGTTTTAATCCATTTTATGGATTAAGTTCTTCGTTATAATAAGAACTTTATTGATTGGACTTCACCTTTACAAAATATTTAAAATTCTCATCATATATATGTTATTCATGTAGTGTCTTATTAATAAAAAATAATTATTGAAAATCTCAATACCTATATTAACCTGTAAAACTAAAACTAAAACTTTTCTACCATACGATTATACTTGAAATTTTCTTATCGTTAAGAAAAGGCAAAAATATTCTCTTTCACTCTTGAATCATCTATGTCGCACGATCATCAGTTAAGCCCCCATGAAATCAAGAGACAACTTTAATTTGAATGAAAGCATCATCGTCGATTACATTTTCACGACGCCAGTAGTTCGTCTCGTCTTGTGCAATTCGCAATCTAGTCTCTGTCGTTTGTTGGATAGCAGCTTATTATGTCTATTACATTTCATGCTTTGCTTTTTAATCCAATGGGTTCTTGGCAATACGTACTTACCTCAAATAATTATAATTTATGGCTTGACTTCTCATGATTAAGCTGCATTGTATGTGATTTAGTGATGCGGCAATTTGTTTTAAATAAAAAACAATTCCAATAATTCTTCGTCGTTTCAAAGAATTCTATAAGTATATTGATATATTGAATCGAGTGACTGAATCAATTTCTTGGATTTGGTGTTCCTATTTATTTATATTTATTCGTACATCGCGTGATTATTAATGTCCTCCATTATATAATAATATCGTATTTAGTATATTTCAACGAGGTCAATTATCCTTTTATCATTCATCACGTTTTTTTTTCTTCTTTTAACATCTATTATATTAATATAAAAATAATATGATAATATAATAATAGTACTTGATTTTTAAAATTAATTCGACTTATTAGATATATTATTGTGTCTGTGTACGTTATTGAGAATTCAGGGTATTGTTGGATTTCTTTATTCAATTGATAAAATTAAAAAAAAAGTTTGTATTTTTATAATGTAAATATACAAATATTCCAATACCGTTATTTTTGGATAGATTAAATATAATTAAATAGATTAAATTATAATTTATGAATTGAATATTTTCAATTGTTGAATTGAGTTTATTATATCTCTGCTCGAAGAATTAAAAATGCTATTGATTTGGAAAAAAAGAATTTCTATAGTTTTTTCTTTTTTTAATGATTTATCTGTTCGATTTTATTTAATATTAAGTTTTATTCTCTATTATATATAAAGATTTTTCTATTAATTAACACATTAAATAAGAGAATTGCACAACTGATGTACTCTAAAAAAAACTAGCTTTCTAATTTTCTTTTTAACAAACATATTTTTACCTGTATTTAGCATAAGGAAACTCACCACGTATAAATAAAAAAAGGAAAAAAGGTTCTATTTAATTAAACATAATTTTTAACTATTGATACGAACATTGTGCTTTCACATATAAAAACAGAACAATCGAAAGTGGTCCACTATATCATGTAGCGTGAAAACTTTCGCTTAGGCGAATTTGGTAAAATAGATCAATCGATGCGCAAACAACGCCTTTTAAATTCGACTCTCGACTCTCTGCTTCTTATGTGCTTAAAAAACGTATAGTATAATTAAACAATACATTGCAGTTACAATGCCGACGTGTAAATAAAATAAGAGGCACGAAAAGAAAAAAGAGAAAGAGCAGCAGCTCCGGAGTTGATTCAAAGAAAATCACTGGATCAATTATTTCGGACTGTTTGAAACATGCGTGTAGAAATTACTTGGATTTACCGAAGGAAAATTGGATTAATCAAAACGTGATAAAGTGCATTTTTTCGATGACCATAACTATCGGGCATACGTGCGACCTCCAATTCTTTTTTATTCTCCGTCGATGTCCGAGTTACATTGAAATCGAGCCAAGAGTTCGTTTTACCTTCTTTCCAGTATAGGAGACCTTATGTATGCAAAAAATGATTTTGTGTAAATAAAGATTTTCGTGAGCTTTGAAAGAGATCGTTTTTGTTGAAATTTTATTTTTAAATATATCGTACGCATCATCATTTAAGATATTTTAATATTAAGATAGATATCACATATCCGCTTTTAATCAGAATTGCTTTGGTATTTTACAATTAAAAATATCTATAAAAAGAATTAAAAATGTATATGCTTGTGATAAATTTAAGTTAATTAGATTATATTTTCCGAAAGCAAGTCATTTTAACGGCAATTTTTTTATTCCTAATTTCGAAATTGCTGAACAATGATCCAATTCCATTGTATACATGAAAATCTTTCTAACATTACCGATATTTATCATCGATAAATGTAGAAAGAAGTAATTATTGGCCAACTTTAGCTCGAATAAACGTCATTATTTTACTACAATTCAATAATATGTCAATTAATAAGAAAAAAAAAAAATTAAGAAAGCTTGTAATTGCTTTTAAAATATTACATACATAATATTTATAAGTGAAATAATGGAAAATATAGCAATACTGTTAATTGCATTGTCGTATGATGTGTCGAAATATGTTTCACTGTAAATCTTTGTGAGAGCATCAAATTGATATCTTAATGCATCGATTTCTAACAAGATTAGATGAAGCAATAAAAATTGTGCCACTTTTTCATTCGCATTTAATGATTGTAATTAATTTTAAGTATGACAGACAAATTGCCAGAGTAATTACATTACATACTTTATACGATGCTATTGTCTATTTCTTTAGTTTAATAACTAGTAATCAAGATGCATAAGAACAATATTTTTAATAAAAAATTTTTTTTATAATTTCGATAGATTAAATATGTGGGTCTTATAAAATTCTTTCAAATTAACGTTTTAATATTATAATTAATATAGTAATATTTTAGAAAGGCTATTATTATACTGTTTTGACATTCTATATTTTAAAACGTGATTATGAAATTAATTTGTTTACTTCCTGAAGTCGTATCCTAATACAAAATTGAGCTTCTTATGAAAAGTTAATTAGATTTTCAACGTAGTATTCGGATATGAAATTATTTCTTGATATTTTTCTCAATATTACATCAAACATAGAAAAAAATATTTACTTACATCTACTGCAAATTTTCTTTTTTTATTTAGTTAAATTTTTTTTATTTTTTATTTTTTTGCTGCTTCATAAAATTTAGAAATACCATATATATTTAATGCAAATATTATAACTTTCATTATTAATGTTTGAAATATCGATTAAACATAAATTATTTAATTAATAGTAATATTTTTAGCAATTATTTATATTTATTGCAATCGATTTATTTGCAGATTTCACGTATACTTTAAAGAATGTTATTTAATTATAAATATCACCCTTAATTAATGCATACATAATTCGTTAATATAATTCTAAGTTTAATCAAATCAGTTGGTCAATTGTGAATTCATAATTCTGTCAATGTAAAATAATAATTTCATTAAAACATTAGTTCGATCGTATTTTTATAACTATGTGTTTCTATCATGCTCTTGTTACTGTGTGTAAAGCTACTATTTATAAAATATTTTATTGAATATGTCACTATCGAACTCAGCAGCTAGCCTGATTCGATTCGATTCGCGGTTGCGAGCAGACACATTTTTTTATATTAATTCCTTCCTTTTTTATCGTCGGAACATTACACTTTTAGTTGACAGATCAAATCACATATCAGTTAATAAAATGCACGAAAAAATGTATACGTTTTATTTAAAGAATAATAATAAATTGTTTTTAATTAATTAATTTTTTTAACTATGTTTTAATTAATTTAAAGTATTAAAGAATATAATATTCCATCAGTTAAAATCTTTATAAATTAAAACTTTTATGAATAAAAATTTAGGCTTTGTTAATATTACTTATTATTGTATTCGGTAGAACTTACGTAATATACAATAAGTAACATTGAGAAACATTTAATTTAGTAGAACACCAGACGCTATTTACTAAAAAAGATACTATATATATATATATATATATATATATATATATATATATATATATATATATATATTAAATAAATAAAGTACCATTAGATATAGTAATTGAATTCTATTTAATTATTGAAACTTTCCCTGTTGAAACGATGCGTACGTGTAAGATATCACGATGTTCATGTCACTCATTTTGAAGACTATGAAAACTTTAATCGAGGCCTCGTAAACAATTAAAGTCCATTTGTGAAAGGAAACGTAAATAAAATACAAGAATAAAATAAAGTAAGTACTTAAAAGAAAAGCGTACTTGTATTAGTTTAAGTTGGAAGTGCATGGAATGCTTGGCTTCGTTCTACAGGCCACAAGTGGTTCGAAGACCTTCGGTTTCGACCATAAAGTCACTCGAAGGCTACGGACTTTATACGGAAGTGGATTACGAGGTGACGTATACATCTTTCTCTCTCCTACTGTGAATTTATATATATATATATATATATATATATATATATATATATATATATCTTTGTTTCTTTCGATCGTCTTTGTGGCTTCGAAATAGAATGTCGTTAAGTCAAGAGCTGATTACTACTGCATTAGCGCTTTCGAGTCCGATATTACAGCAACGATGCGCACTAGAAAAGTATGAAATGCTAAGAAGACGATAAGAAATTATATTTATACGCCCGATTAATAATGAATTCTTTTAATATCAGGCTGTCCGTTAAAAATGCCGGATTAAGTATAAGGACATTTAATACGGAGATATATGGTCTCATTTCTCTGTTTTGTGCTATTTCTAGACGAATGTTTACGATGAATATTAGCATAAGTGAAGGCTATAACGGTGCTGTTCAAATGGACTATTAAGCTACAATAATCAATGTATTCTCTTATTGTTGGCCTTCGATTTCGATATCTTTCGATTGATAAGAAACTTTATTAAATTAGATAATTATCAGGCATTGCTTTCATTTGAACGGGATCTTTTAGTTTAAATATTATTAATTATATAGGAAAATCAATTAGTTGACTGAATTCAGTTTAGATGATGTCTGTGTGTCGGTGCTATTTAATATATATTACAAGTGTAGCAAAGTTTTTAATCCTTTGGTAAATTTATCGATCTGATTTTATTCGTTAAATAAATTAACTTTTACATTATTAAACGAAAATAATTATTAATGAGACCGAGATGAAAATACTTGCAATACAATCTCGATATTCTCGATATGCGACAGTATCATCTAAATTTTAGAAATAAGATTCGAATAAATGTGAGAAACACATACAAATATTTTTAATGTATTATTATACAGTTTTAAGTAATTTAATTATAACGGAGTTTATGGCACTAAAGTGAGCCTCTTTGATTGCAAATTTATTTTCAACGCTTTTAATAATTCGAACACTATCAATTACACCTTATATACATTGCGAATGGGGTTGGTGGCTAAAAACTGTATTTTAATGCAGTTAGAGAGTAGATGTTGAGATAGAGCAAAATATCGGTAATTTGTATTTATATAGAAAAGATAATTTTCTTAGATATGAGTTTCGTTATACAATATAAGAGAAAATTAACTGAAATAAAAAGCCATAATATTATAACGTTATTTTATATAATATTAGTTATGTGAAGAAAAAAAAAACCAAATATAACGTCCATGAAGTTAAGTATAGCAGAAAGAAACGGCTCTGTACATTTAAATATTGAAATGCGCAATGATCCAATTAAAATATTTATTTTAGTAAAACTAGTTATGTGCTATTATTGAAATTAAGAAAAACAAGTGAATTAATGACCTTATTCATAATTGCATTAATTATTAGTATCCGTTTTTACAAAACTCGTGAATGTTGATTAGGAAATATAAAAAAAATCATTGACACGTCATAATATAATCTATATGCAATCTGAAAATGCAAATGCATTTAATAAAAATATATTTATTTTGAAATTAAAGATTATGCATTACAAAGTTCAAATTTGGTTTAAAATACTTTCAGCTAATTAACTACGATTTTACAATAATTTTATCAAATTCAAAAAATATTTCATTTAAATAAATTTTTGAAGAACAATTCAAACTCACAATTCATTTAAAATAACAATTTTAATAAACTTCATTGTATTTATCGATAATATTATATAAGACAGTAAACAAATTTATTTATAATGTTTTTAATTAAATATTCCAATTATGTATAAGGAAAGACGAAATACGAGGAAAGCGCATGAAAAGAAAATCATAAAAAATCAATTGACGCCGTTGTATACTTTTTATTTAATTTCTACTCGACCATATATTTTAGATAGATAATTATTTTTTAGTTGAATTTAAATATATGGAGAAAACTGCTTCATAAAAATTAAGACTCGGTTAATGATAAGAGACCGATACTTTCAAAAATAAGAGAAAGTTGTATAAAATTAACATATTTTGAAAAATGTATTTTTAATTGCTTAATTAGTTTATTATCAAAAGAATAAATAAGTAAATTAATAAATAAATGTGTATATATATATATATATATATATATATATATATATTTATATACCGATTTTATTGTCTTATACTTTATAAAGCTTCAACGCTACGCATAATTTTTCAAATATCGATATCTCTAGGAAAAAAAGTTGTTTATTTTAACCGTTGTTAAGCCACGTCCATTCGAATAATGATTATTTCATGTCTATATCTATCGAACGGATGTTATTTAATTTATTATTATTATTATTATTATTATTATTATTTTTTTTTTTTTTTTTTTTTTTTTTTTTTTTTTTATAAATCGAAAACTTCCTTAGGCTAGTTTGATCATTAGCATTCGGGTCTATAAAAAATGGCCTCAAATTTATTCGATACGTAAAAGTTCGTGTGAATTGTCGGTGTAGTGGACAATGAAAAACATTGTGAACTCGTAACCCATACAGAGGGAGGCAGCCCAAGCGAGCAATAAATAAAAGGGCGGAACGTTGGCAAACGACCGACTTAGCACTACTTTCCTTCCGTCTCCAGGTTCATGGGTGTCTGCGTCCACGAGGGCCAACTCCACGCACTGACGGAGTACATAAACAGCGGCAGTCTGGAGCAGCTTATTATGTCGCGTCATACACCCCTACCGCACCTAACGCGCATGAAACTCGCCCGCGACACGTCCTGCGGCATGGCCTATCTGCACAGCAAGGGCCTCTTTCATCGGGACCTCACGTCCAAGAACGTGCTGGTGAAGAGGAACGAGGCAAACGAGGAGCTGACTGCCGTAGTCGGGGACTTTGGCCTCGCCGCCAAAATCCCGGAACCGAGCACCGGCTACAGACTGAGCACCGTGGGGAGTCCATACTGGATGTCGCCCGAGTGCCTCAAGGGTCAGTGGTACGATCACAGGTCGGACGTATTCTCATTCGGGATCGTCGTGTGCGAGCTAATCGGTAGGGTGCCGGCCGACCCGGACGTGCTCCCGAGATCCGACAACTTTGGCCTCGACTACCTGGCAGTGGCGGAGATCTGTGCGGCCGCCGATCCCCCGCCGGCCTTCCTTCAACTTGCCTTCCACTGTTGCACGGTAAGTCTCTACCGCTATTGCGCCATTCGCGACTTCCTTTATTCTAAGATTTTACGAGGTGGTGGAGGGCCGAGCTGAGAATATGCGGGCAAGAAGTGTACGGGACGAGACGGTGTTGGTAAGCGCTCGTCCCATCGCCAATGTCAAGCTCGGGCGTGAAAGTGCCTAGGACCGGTCACTGAACTCCATGCTCATCCTAGTACTTTTATTTTAATCATCGTTCTCTTCATAGCACTGCCACGGTTATTGTTCAGTACGATCGGATACCGATATTTTAATAGCCGTAGCGTGGCCTCGTCTCTGACCAAATGCCACGATAGCGATAACATTTATTGAGTTAGAATTCTGACTTTGACATCGTTTCCTCCCCATGACTCCCTCTGCTCTCTAAATAGCACTTACGAGCTCTGCCATTTGCGCTTGTAATGCCAGCACCTGCCTCGTCACATACGACAATGCACTGTATAATGCCATAGATGTGTTGTAGTATCATTGATTCTCGGTAAATGAATTTCACTGCATTGGCGCTATTCGTTAGTCACGATTAATTAAAGCAATAGTAGTCATTGTATTGAGGCGTCATCGTGTGATGTAGCAGCTGCCCGACATACAATAGGTGTACAATCCAAATTTCTACAATTATGCTCAATCGGTATATTATTGACAAAGATACACGAAACTCATTTAATTTTTTGTGGTTTTTTGTTTTTTTTTTAGAGAAAATTTACTTGAATATCGCATTTTATAAGCGAATTTGACTTTAAATGAAATTCAATGGATAATGCTTTATGCTGGTAAACAATCAGGCATAATCGTTTGTCATCTTAAAACGTTGATAGAAAAGTCAATGATCTGTAATTATAATTCTAAATATTAATCTTTCAACGAAGTATTTAATCGCCTATAGTAAAACTATAGTAACATTAGACTGTTTTATGTAATATTCATGTCGACATGGTTTATTGGAAATGTTGAAATGCTTAAATATTGGATAGAAGCACAATTAAATGCGTATAAATTTGATAAGTAAGAGTGTAACTCATGATACCCGAGAAGTAATTTCACGTTAATCGCAGATAATGGAGTTGATTTAATTATTATTATAAATTAATTCATCGGTGAGATTAATGACAATGTTTAATTAGTAGTAGTATTACTTATTATGGGTGATTTCTTTGCTTTCTTTCTCATTGGCATCAAAATTAAATACAGCAGTTTGATATTTACAAAGTATATAGATTCCAATACTTAATGGCTTCGATTGCCTTAAAACTTGAAAATAATTGCCAATCTAATAATTAAGTTAAGCTTTCATTTAGTCACATAAAATGCTTGAATTTGTTTTAAAGATCGTTAAGCTTCCGCACAATTCTTTCACATCGTTAGATATGTATTTATTAAAGCCAAACTCGGGAGAATTTCAACTCTATATTTTCTCTAACTTTATTTTTTCAATAAACAACGTTGGGCGGGAGGGAAGGGATATTGGTAATTAATATTCCTTACTCGGGTTTAATTACTAAATTGAATACAACGCGTATCGAACGAGTAAAATGTAACAAATTCATTTAATCAGTAATTTTGAATCGATAATAATAAACTAAGTGACATATGTCGAAGTATTGTAGTTACACATTGTGTGGGTGAGTCTCATACATTATGAAATGTGTCATTCAACGAATGGCCATATTATAATAGTTTCGTTCGGCTAAATTGCAAGCAAATTCTTAATACGCGAGCTGCATGTATGTATATTAGAATAACCTTTCCTTTTATTCATAATTTATATACTTTTATATACTGTATGTAAAAAAAAAAAAAAATATTGAAAAAGCAAAACAATAGCCAAATGGCCTACAGAATCGAAAAATTTCAACTATCCCGATCCCACAAAAGACATAATATTAATGTAAAGTGTTGCTCTTGGCAGTACGAGCCTCGCTCCCGACCAACATTCCCAGAGATCGTGCAGACGCTGGACAACCTGATCACAGCTCACGAGGACGAGACGAAAGCCAACCCGAACAAGCGACAGTCGGTGGACCAGGAGCTGATATCGAGCATCGAGATCGTACGCCAGTCCCGACCGATGAGCCGCCGTACCACGAGACTTCGGAGCCACTCGGCGGACGCGCGCGCATGCGCGAACCCTACGGCCCCCTGCGATAAGGCCCGGTGTCATTCGGCACGACGAGTCGCCGAGTTGGCCAGCCGTAGGGATCCGCACTACCGGCCCATGACGGCCAATCCCTTCCACGCACTCGGCGGCGTCAAGAAGATACTCGGCGATCTATTCTCCAGCTGCCTCGAGCTGACGTCGCTCGAGGACGTCGGCCAAGGCGCCGCTGAGGCTGGCATTAGAAAATTCAAGCCCCTCGCCGCGCAGAACGATAGTATCGCCAAGATATTGGAGAGGAAGAAGCCCAGCTCCGAGCCCAGCAGCCCCACGGCCAGAAAGAAGTGGGAGAGGAAGGTGAGGATGCTGGCATTTTGCGTACACTGCGGTGCCTAGAAATTGCGGTCCTTCTACCTTCACGACAAAGTATAATGCATTTAATTGACATTGCGCGATAAGAGGATTGAGGAGCGGCGAATTTTTGGCGCTTAACAAATGCTCTGTATTTAATGTACGTTAAATAATACTCGGAAGCACTATTAATCACCCTTACTCGACTATTATCATTAATATCGAATTGGCCCTTAATTCTTACATTATATATGAGGATATAAACTTATAAATGTCGCCTAAACAAATTGAAGAAATCGTCAATTCAATTGCATTGTATATTGCGAAATTACATTATAAGCTTGACTATACTCATCGATGTATTATCCCTTTAGTTTTGATTTTTTATTTTTAATTTTAATTCATTGGTCGACTTTTATTGAATAGGTTGGATAGAATATGCTTGATTTGGCAAGCTTTTCTTTAAACTCCCTTTAATGTATTGCCTGTTAAGTCGTATATTTTAGTTTTGGTGCATTACAACCTATTGTCGTTAAATTATACAATTGATTTATAAAAAAATGCAATTATAATTTTCATTCGATTGTTTTACCATAAGTCCACGTTTATGGATCAACAAGCTATGCTTAATAATAATAGTAATAATAATAACGATAATAATAGTAATAATAATAATAATAATCATAATAATAATAATAATAATAATAATAATAATAATAATAACGATAATAATAATGATAATGATAATGATAATGATAATGATAATATACGGAATAGCGGGACTTAAAGATTGGAAATGCAATACTTCAAAATTGCTGAATAGCGAAACGGCTAACAATTTCAAAAACAATGTGAATGTTGTGCAACGCAGGTGTCGACGAAGATCGGAGCGGCCAACCTCTTTGCACACCCACTCTTTCGAGATGGATGGGAGCCCCATCGGCGCGGAAGCTGCGAGTCCGGTTTTTGGAGCTGCGTGGGCGAGGATCTGAGTCCAGAGCCTCCAAATCGTCGTCACGCCTCGACTCTAAGCAGTTCCGCGGCCTCCAGTCTCTTTCTCCTCGACGACCATCGCACGAGCTCCATTTACACGGATTCTAGCGAGGACATAGCGAGCCTCGGAGGTGGCGACTCGACCTGCTGGGAGGACAGGCTCGATAGACTCGGACCCTCGAGCAAGACCATCGCCAAGATCGTGGATTATTTCGAGAGGAAGCAAGCCGGCGCGGGCAAGCTCGGCGAGCACGGACTTGAGGTCGTCGCGCCAAGTAGGATCGCGCTGCTGAGGGCGAGGCTCGACGGAAGTGCGCCCCTCTGCAGTATAAGCGCCGTCCAGAGGCTCGTCGTTTGTGAAGGGGCGGTGCGAAGTAAGCTGCCCCTGTTCGATAAAAAGTGACGAGTAAGAAAATGCGCCTCCAGAAATTTTGGTAGATAAGCGATGTGTGTGTGTGCGTGCGTGCGTGCGTGCGTGCGTGCGTGCGTGCGTGCGTGCGTGCGTGCGTGCGTGTGTGTATGTGTGTACGGGGCTCGAACTATATTCTTAATAATCTTTGGCCGATTTTTAATCGGGATTGCGCTTTAATTGACGCGCCACACTTCTTCGTGGCTACTTTAATTATCTTATCGCTTTATGCGTATCCTTTCGTCGCGCCTCTTATTGACTTTGCCCTTCGTAAAAGTAGGTAAAGGATTTACAGTAATTGCTGAATTTTCTTTAATTGCATTGCCAATTGAATTACAACGGCTGCATTTTAGTTAATTTTTAAGTTATGATAAAAAGTTTTGAAATTAGTTTTAAAAAATTGATAAAAGATGTATAAGAAAAGAATGCTTTAAGACTTAGAGGTTCATTTCTCGAATCATTTATTCAAATACTAATGTTTTTAATTTTTTAATTTTATTTATAAAGAAAATTATCAGTGTAGAATAATTATAAATCGGCTTTTTAGAAATGAATTTTAGATTTTCGAAAGGATTTATGATCGTGAAAATTTAAAATTTTCATAAATTTACATAATACTTTTAATAATATCTCGATATAAGATTTATTGTACACTTGGGGATACATAAAATACTTGGTTGTTCGCAACAATTTGAATAGTAAACAATTTTTCCTTATTTAACTACATCTGAATTAAAATTATTTATGTAAACAAAACTTATTCTTACTCATTTTCACCATAATATTATAATTTGAAACTATTTGTTTGTGTTAGATAAATATTATTAATTAATAATTTTCGGATTGAAAAATGAGCTTGTAAGCTTTAAAACAATTCTTTACCCATATTATTGTTTGAATTTTTTTCAGCAATTGCAAAACTTTTTATAATATCTAAAATAAATTTTTGACAAAAAATTAACTGGAAGTAACACCCCAGCTAATTTGTTAATATATTTAAAAGTACAACTTAGTATTCTTTTCAAGGTAATTCTTCATCTTTTTTTTTACTTTTACTTTGCGTCATTTATTTGATTAATAAGCATTGGTAGCCGTAACGAAGCATACGATTATTTGAATTAAATTTAAATTATTAAATTATCTATCGTATTTAATTATAAATTGTACATAAATCTTGAAAAATTAAATTCATATTTGTGTAACTTTTGAATCGACAAACTTAATTGTTATAATTACGTTGTTCAAATAAGTTTTAATTATTAATTTTTTATTTAAACAATATTATTAAGCTTCTAGTAATCAAATATAATGTATTTTAATAGAATTAAGTAATTTACCTTAAGTCTATTTGTTTTTGTTAACGCGTTTCTTCGAGAGTAATTTTATCGTATCCATAGTAAACATGTATTTAAACATAAAAGTTAAACAAAAAATTTGTTCTCATTATAAAAACTTGGATTTTTTTTTTTTTTTTATTTTATAAAAATGAAAATAGAAACTTGTTTGAATATGTTCAATATTTACACAACTTTATGAAATGTTAATTAATTTTTCAAACGGGTCTTTAATAAGGTTTATCTTTGAATGACATATAAAGTAACTATCTTGCGAAAGGCGGTGAAATCAATAAGAATTTTTTTCTTGGTTTTTTCTTGATCATTTTCCACTCATGTGCCACAATCTTTCCAGCCTATTTATTAAAATTACTGATTGTGACGAATCTAATCGACCCATTTAATTCTGTATGCAGATTGTCGAATTAATCGAGTGTTTGTTGTCAATTGGTCTCCCAACTAACATTCTATGTGAATTATAATTTTCATGAATTTTCTTCATTATTACGCAAATGTTCATGTTTTTCATGGTGTCGCTAGTACAACATTAAGGATTTTCGTTTTATCCAATTGGAATGTATAACTATAATGATGATGAGAAGTTATTAATTCGATTTTAAATGCTATTTCGAAAATATTAACTGAATGGGACACTGCGATTACTAAGTATTAGGACCAAATTAATGAGAAACGGGATTGGATTCATTGATTAAAGTACGCAATTAAAATTACGTCATAAAATTAAAAATGGTATACATATATATATATATATATATATATATATATATATATATATATATATATATATACGTACACATACATAATGAGGTTAGACCATTTTGATTATCGATAACATTTTTTTTATGCTCGATTAATTAATATAATTAATTCATGCTCTAATTTATTCTTCGAGTACATTTATCACTTCAACAACATCCAATTATGCAGGTGATTTCAACCATCGTTTTGAAAGTAATTAAACAATGCATAAATGTTATTTGTAATCGAATTTTTCGTATACGTGAATAGTATAATAAAGCTTAGTGAAAGCAATCTATGAAATTTGAAGCCTTGGTACTGTAAGTTATTTTAGATAAAGCCCCGGAAAAAAAACAGAGAGAGAACATAGTTCATAATTAAAGGATCGTATCATTTTTGGTGATTTAAATGTATTGAAGTCGGTTTTAAAAATTTTTGCGGCGCAAATAGTTTTGAGGTGTGAAATATACCCGAATAAGAAACCCGGTGTCTCGTAGTGTAAAATGATGTATGTGGATGAGGGTCGAAATATGGCTGCGCATTCACATAATGGAATTAGATAAAATTATTAGATAAAATAATTACGTCTGATCTTTAATTGATAATACATAATACATCGTTCTAATAAAAAAATTTTTGTTGATTAAAAAAAAAATTTCATTTTCGCATTTCTAATTCAGTAAAAAGAAAGATGTGGTAACAAAATACATTTGCCTAGTAAGAATACGCATTATAAGGCTTTTTCACTAACGTTTGTAAATCCCATTGCATTAACGAAAAATGATTCTCGAATGTTTTAAAACAATTAATATTCTTAATGATGATGAAAACACAAAAAACAAATGTAATTGGTCATCTTTTTTTCTAACATTCTGACTTGCAATGTGTTTGCTGAATTGTTGACGGGGTTTGTCTTGCAGGTAAATCCGATTATTAGCCAAGTTTTCTTTCTAATTTTTAGATAACGAAAATAGATTTTGCAATTTTCAAATTTTGTAGGCCCATCGATACTCGAGTTTCAAATGCTAATATTATATATTTCTATGAGTCATTATAGCATCATGTTTACTTATTCATATAACGAGTATTGTTAATGAAAATAGGAGAAGCAAATTGAATATATTTGAATCCCACAGAGTTATCAGACTGACGTTTATATGATTGATACAAACGTTTTGTATTAGTGATCAAAAAGTGATCGATAATAGGCTTTAACAAGATATGTCATTGTAGTGCGGTACACGATCGAGTTGGCATCAAATAAATAAATTGAATCGATAGATTTATAAAATCATTTGGCGGAAGTATATAACGCGTAAGATCAACTATTAGATGCTCGTGAAATTTATATTCAGGAACTCGAGCCAGTGATGGCATAAAAATCCAGCTATTTAATTTATTCCAATGGGAGAATTACAGCTTACGGAAAAAATATTTAATCCAATGTCATATCCTCGAAAGATATTAACGAAATTTACTCTCGTTAATGAGCATTTAGAATCTAGACGCTTCTAATCTATGAACAACGTCTAGCTTTTTATTGGCAATAACAATGAGAAAATTATCAAATATCTCAGGTGGAAACTTCATCATTAAATCTATATTGAATGTGTTTGGATTCAACATCTTCGTTATCTGCGATGCAGGCGGTGAATTTTTGTTGATTACAATACTCCAAGTAATTGTATAACTAACACAACCAGTACTCTGTCGCTGGCGACGAAAAATCTATTTCAATTTTATACTTGACAATTGAAATACATATTGCCCTAGGAAAACCTATTACATATAGAAATTTTACAATTTGTTTCATATTATAGGAATTTTAAACTAATAATTTCACAGAATTATATTTCTTTTTTGTCATAAATGCATATTGACATGCAATGATGGTGAAATTTGAATTGGAAATAAGGTTGCTGAATGTTTTGAAAAAAAAACTTTTCAAAAACAACATCTAAATTACTACCATAAAAAAGCATACCATGCGTATTTATATTTTAATTTATTAAAAATAAATGATTCATTTTACTGTCTCTATATCATTATGGATTATATTTTTGCACAAGTGCTTTTAGCTATATCAATGAAATATAAATAATGATCTTAACCAAATATATTTATTTCATATATAACGGAAGAATTCTTTGCAGAGAATAGTACGAGTATTAAGCGTAAACTATAATTGGCGGGCGGACTTTATATATATATATATATATATATACGAATTCAATTATGCTTAGTGGAACTACGTTGTGTTACATTGAAATACTTTCATACTTATGCAAGATGTTGAATAGTGTTTATATCGATGAACATTAACAGAGGGCAGGCAACACGATATTGATTATCTGTCGTACTTTTTATTTCAAGTTGCCGGTCGTGCGCACGTCGCTGGTCCCTTTCAAGGGCATTTTATTTTGATCTCGTCCTTATAAGCTTTCAAAATGACGAATAAAAAATAAAATTGAAGTGCTAGTATAGACTCTCATGATATTGTTTGTCGAGTGATTATGGTGCTGTCGGTAACTAATCAGTAACTGTTCTATATTAAAACCAAGTACGTCTATTTATATTTCCATTTTCTTTTACTGATCTAATGTTATCGATTTTTCCGGGTGTAGTAGCTGCAATTAATAAAATTGTATGTACTCCTTTGCTTTTCCAATATTCGTTCGGAAACGCCCGATCATTATATACATATGTGTTGTAAAAACACAATCATAAATACAAATATGTGCGCGAGCGCGCTTTAATACGTATTGGCTGTTCTGAATTAAACACATCCGCACTTGCATTTACTCGTGTTACACTTTCTTTTTGTCTTTTGTCTAATTGCAAAAAATTTAGTTAAAATCTGTAATGGATCACTAGATTGGAATAAATTAAAAACTCTAATAA